CCCACCCTACCACACCCCACCATACACCCCCCACAGCTCACCATACACACCCTCTCTGCCCAAGCACACCCCACACCTCCCCACACAATATAGAAGAATAAGACTTTATTTTTGAGTTGTTATGCACTCCCTTCTATATACAGTATGCAAACATAAATCATGATGTATTTCGGGGGGGGCAAGGGGAGGAACTTCGAGTGGCAAAGGTCAGGGTTAGGGGGCCAGGACTTCCGGTCTCAATATGGTGACCAGGGGGCAGGGCAATGGTCAAGGGGCACGCCTACTCATGTGGCTCTTGACAGCTCACCAAAACTTGTTAAGCGGCTTTCCAGCTGAAATAATTGCCCACCTCTAGCTTAGTCTCTTTAATGCAAATATAACACAACATGGAAAGGCTGCCCATGTCCTGGTTTGACATTCCTCAGCACTAAAATAGCTGATAGCATTGCAGGCCACCAGTGCAAGGCCATGGCAGATTGTTTGAAAGCCACCACTATATCCAGACAGGTACCAGGACCCAGCTCTTCTTGGAAATGAGAGCAGCACAAGGGAAGAAGGACGTGGCGTTAGGAAGGAAGGATAGCCAGAGAGCTAGCAGGCAAGTGGGACATCCCAGTCCAGTTCCCAACAACACTGCACATTTTCCAGCATGTTCAGGAGTGATGTTAGTCTCTCTGAGCTTTTTCTTTTATCTTGAAAATGGGGATAATAGTACTCCTGACTTCAGAGGGATGTCGTGAGGAATAAACATACTGGCCAACTTGGAAGTGCTCTAATGTGGTGTGAACGGAGGCCATGAAAGTGTCTAAGAATAGGGTAATTTTGTTTTTCCCTTTAGCAGTTGCCTTGTAGCTTGTGGTAATTTTTTGGTCTCACTTTAGAGGAGGCTTGACTAAGTGTTGGGGCGTATGATTGGACAACAGGAAAAGTATTGGGGGAAGAGGAAGAGAAAGGGTGAGCGGATTTGAATAATTTTATTAAAATAATAGGGATTGCTAGTAACCTACAAGCTGTGTAAATAGGGTGGCTTTCAAAAGAAATGGGTAAGAACTGGAAGGGGGGGAAGAGAAACAGGAAGGGGGATCTTTTATTCTTTATTTTTTTAAGTGAAACTTGAGTAAAGGGGACAAATTAACCAATAAAGGGCAAGAAGCCATAAGTTGAACAACTAAAATGCAAAGGGGAAAAAGCCCATACATGCATGCAACAAGTGGTGCCATACTAATCATTTTGTGTGCCATTCCTTTTCTTACTTTTTCTGTCATCTTCTGTGGGTTTGATTCAGCAGCTGCTGTCATATTTTCTTTTATTCTTGTGCTTAATCTAACAATAGGGCATTATATAGCTAATATCTATACTATTGAACAATTGAACCATTAGATTGTAAACTCTGGAGGGCAGTAACAGCTTTCCTTTGTGCCTGTACTTGACTGTGTGATTTGGCTCCTAATATCTGTCTGTGTTAAACGAATTAGGCTTTTCATCACAAATCTGTAGGTTTTATCCATTTTGCAGTTGAGAAAACAGGCAATGAAAGAGTAAGCAATGAAGTTAAGCACTTGGAGTGAGTTAGTGCAAGAAATGGGGGAGGAACCCAGGTGTCATTGTTCTCAGCCGTATGCCAAACAGTAGGTAGATAAAAATATCTTCTCTATACACTAATATGTATATCAACTTTAAAAACAATGGACTTCTGATTTATTTTATTTGTTGTCTACCACATGCTAGGTGCTGTCCAGATTTATATGTCCCAATTCCTGTCCTGGAGTACTTGCAACGAGAGAAGACCAGTATGGCAAATGCTGGGTGAAGGGTATAGAAACATTCACTAAGAAAATTCAGCTGCCCCTTTCCATCCTTATTGGTATTGTTGTTTCATGATCTGAGCCATTAAACCATTATGTGAGGCCTTGCCAGGGTGTTTCTATAAGGAAGAGAAACTGAGGATATAAATTAGTAGTTATTGTTGAAACCCTGTTTCTTTGCATGCCCAGTCTGCCTTTTTGGACCTTTCTTGAACAGGATCAGATATACAGAGCTGTGCTATTTAGCATCCCAGCCTCTTCATTTGCATTCACGGTTAGTGAAATCCTCTTTACTTTCTGTTAGTTCTTGCTCAGGCTTTCCCCTGGGATCCAGTACCTTGAGTGGTGGTGTCTGTGTCAGGTATCTCTACTAAAGGAGCATTTGATTTGCTTCCCTCTTTAACCCAAGTGAATGATATCTAGGATGGCCACTCCTTTCTACAAGTTCTGTCATTTCCCATAGATCAAAGGCGTACTTGCTGGCAGCTGGCAGCTGGCAGCCTCTCCAGCACAGCAGTATTTAATGATATATGAACTTCACAGAGTGATCAGGGAAAGGATAGTTTCACTGCAGGCATGAGATCCAAATCGTTCGCTCATGGTTTATTAGAACTAAACTACTGAGACTTGTAATTTTACCATAATGACCCTAAGGACCAATCAGTGAGTACAATACACTCCGCAGGCAGGCGGACCATGCCCTGCCCTAGGCTTAGTGTGACTGTCATTCTGAGCTGGTTAAGTGGTGTTGCGTGCCTGCTGCTGCCAGGTGTTCTTTGCTGGTTGCTGCTGCTGATTTAGGCACTGACTCAACACACCAATGACTATGTCAAAAGACACCGGAGACTTACTGGAAAGGTACGTACAGTACGGTGATTTGTATTTAAGGCAGTGCTGATTTTACATCTGAGATCAGATAGCAGGGAAACAGAGTGCAACCCACTGAAGCATGACTAATCAGTTTGTAAAAATGTTCAGCCTTCTCCAGATTAATATAGCAGTGCACAAAAAAGTATTTTAAAGATAATATATTTTGTATCATGCATAGAATGCTAATGCCTTAGTTCAGTTAATGCAGTCTCAATTCTTTACTCAGGAACTACATCTAATGTTCCTCTCTCCTCTGAGTGTTGGGGGTGTGTGTAACTCCCATTGCTGTAGCTGCTGAAACAGATTTGTATCAATTACTCTGTTTTTAGAAAAGGTTCCAAGAGCATGGGACATCTGATGTGTACTTTGAACTCTTAGCGTCTTAAGCAGTTTTATTATTTTTTTTAAATCTTACCTTCTGTGGAGATAAACAAAGAAAGTCAGAAAAAAGATGGAAGTCTTCAAACAGATGAGAGCATGTTTCAGATCAGTGTTAAATATGCTACTATTTTGGGAAATGTAGGTTTCCAAAGGTATGTAATAAATGCAACCCTTGCAGCCTACAGATGGCAAAGTTCTACATTATTGCAATAAATCAGGCTCAGAGTGGGCTTGAAGGTGTATAAGTTATCCGTGCATGATATTGTTTGAGACATAATGGCTCACAGGGATACTGGGGGTTGGTTAATCAATGTTTGCAAAGCACTTTGAGACTCTGGGGAGCAGAGCTGTATGCAGCACAGGGATCGGTGATGACAGACTCATAAAATGGCTCTTTCAAATGCTTAATCCTCATTCTTGAAACTGGAAACATCTCATGCTTCTCCCTCCCCTCTATAAAGGGAGTTCTGGTTTTAAAGCAAATGACTGTGAAGTCCCTCAGTCAACATGTCAGGGTTTGTTCTGAGCTCTGATGCTTTTCTTGTTAGGGTGGTATTGCTAGCATACTTTCTGGGATTTTTAGGTCTGTGTTTCTTTCATTTTGGTAATTATACATGTTACATGTTAAGGAAGTAGCATAGATCCTGAGTCACAAGACAGTTTAATTTAGTTTACAGCAGCTGAAGTTGTGGGTAGAAGAGAAGAAAATAATTTACTACTTTCTATAAAACATAGAAATCAGCTTCTCTGCCACAGACTGATGACATCCAGTCTGGTTCCTTACAAACTGCAAAGGACCTGAGTTTCAGCTGCTCTGACACTGCCCAGGGTATTTCAGCCTTACCAGTGCAGGTTGTATTGTTCCTTCTGCAGGCTTGCCTGCAACAATTTTCTCTCTTATGCTGAATTTTGGCCAGAAGTTTTCAGCTGGTTTGTATTATCTCCTTGCCAGTACAGACCTGCTGAAAACTCTCCTTAGAGGTCAGCCTGACACCTCAGGCCATAAATCTTTAAAAGAAAAACAAATGTGATCAGTGGAAAACACTGAAATAGGCTTTTGATTGTGAAGGGTAGTTGCTGGCTTTACACCTATGTGCAACAGCTGGTTTCTCAGTTAGTGACGTTTCCTTGTTCCCCAGGAGCAGCCATTTTAATTGATTTAAAATCAGTTGATTGATTTGATAGCTGTAATGGCTTAGTTTTTCCTGCTGTCTTGTGGTCAGTGGCTGTACAAAACATGGGCTATACATAATACAGTCCACAGCAGCAATATATGTAGGAGTTTCCATATGGCATCAGATCATGAATCCCTTTGGTCTAGCAATGACTAATACCTGATCTTCAAGAAGATAGTGAAAAACTGTCTAGCTAGAGGTACTGCATAATAATGCGGTGGTTTGTAAAATAATCCAGCCACGGTATTTGAAATTCTGATTCCACTGCTGCAGCAGCTTCCACAGGCTGATTGCCAGCTGTAGGAAGAAACACTTCCTTTGTTTTCAGTATCTGTCATTAATTCCCCTGCGATTTCTTACCTTGAAACTTCTAGCCAAGGTAGAAGAAAAGACTTATTTTTTTTACTGTGCTTTTTCTGGTCTTCAGTATCTAAGAGATGGACCTGAACCCGAAACCTGAATGTAGCCAGTCCCAAATTTAGGAAGAGTTCAAGTCTGGCTTCAGACTTTGTCACTGGTCCTTTTCTCTTTGGACCAAACCAAAACCCTGCATCTGAACATCACCTAAACTTAGCAGAATGGATCTGTCTGGAGTCAGATCTGGCCTTTGTTCTAGGTGAGCGAAGGATAAGAGCATGGTACATTTTCCACCTCTGGAGCAGGGACTACTTTGTAGCATCTTCTAATTCTTTCACAGGTGGCACTAAACAGTGGTTCACCACCCAGATGAAGTCGTGGCCTTGACCTTGATTCTTAGCATCTTGCAAAGTAATTATAAGAGCTGTGAATTTAATTTGGACCTGACGACGTCCTACTGGGAAGATGATGGATCTTTAGATGGTGATGCAGCATCTTTATAACAACAGGAACCACATCAGAAGGGCACTCTCTTCATGTTACAGTCTACTGCAAAGGACCATAGTATTATAGGATGGAGACCAACAGCAGATGGGGTGGGGGCACTTATACAGGAATATCTAAAAAGAGGTAAATGCCTGTCTTTCCTTATGGCACATTTCCTACAACAAGGCTAGGGGGTTACTAGCTGTGCAGTGGATTAGTGAAATTGGAATCACAGTACATGTAAGGTGATAGTAGAGAAGTATGAGTGAGAGCTCAATAGAAAAATAATTGAAATGGTCCATTTATCTGTTTCTTTTTCTTTTCTCTTCTTTTTCAACAGGTCATCTATGTCAGACCTGAATGTGGCCCTGGATGAATGTTCAGCTGCTGTGGATTTATTTCTAAGCAACAAGTTCCCTGATGCCCTTGCTTCTCTTCAAGCCAAGTGAGTTGACTGCTTTTATCATTTTTTTTTTTTCCTTGTTTCATTCATTTTTCAGTAGAAAAGCTTAAGCAGGCTTTGGGCCAGTTTTCACTTCACTTTAAGGCACCGAAGTGGAATTCTATTCCAGGCTGTTCCAGTCCTTGAAAAACCATTAATGCACCAACTTCTGCATCACAAAAAGCAGAGAGGAGCATGAAGATGACTTATGTATCAATAATTTTGCAAGGTTTCAGGCAGGGTAGAATAGACCCACATTTAGGTATCTCATAGGTGGGTAAGAGCTGTCCCTTGGAGCACAAGATAAATAGTTGTACTTTTGATCAAAGGAGATGGGAAAATAAAATCACTTTTTTTATGCCATGCATATGAAATGTCTGAGAAGAGAAAGTGTTTCTCTTTGGATGGCATGTATTGATCAGAAGTTTGAGGACATTGTGCAGCTTCCATGCCAACATTGTCTCAGGAATGAAAAATTGCTTTTGTTTACCAAGAACTGTGTAGTTTACCATGAGGTGTGGTCCTTTCAGTTGTGTTTGTGAATTGTTAGTGTTGTGCCCCTTCAAAAATCTGCTTGCTTTGAGGAGCTTAAATGAAGGAACTATCCTTTTGTGAGCAACATATGGAATTCTTAAACCTGAAACAAATATTTTTTCTCTTTCTTCTTTCTCAGTCAGTTTTTCTTGTCCATGCTGTTCCTCCCCTTTTTACTCTGCTTCGATTTCCTTCTCCTGCTGATACTCTTTTGAAGCCTTTCAGCTGATGGCTGGTTTTTTCCACTTATTTCATCAGACCTTCTTCTATTATTATGCTTCTCCTTTTAATGATCTTCATCCATATTAAATTCCTCCCCAACACCTTTTTCTTCTGTTAGACCTTTTCATGGCAATCTCGCATCACAAGCAGTAGAGAGATTTAAAAACAACCAAGAGCGTCATCTTTTGTGAGTAGTCCTTACACAGGCTGTGATGAGAGAGGTAGGTTGCAGGGGCAAGCCTAGCTTCATCAGTTGCCATTGCTGATGTGAGCACATGCTCTGAGTGTGGACAGAGAGCCATAGCTTGCGTTCAGCGACAGGAAAATAGGAGTCACCATACCAGATGAGATGCAAGGTCCAGCTACTCCAGTATTATGTCTCTGACATTAGGCAATGGAAGTCGCTTCAGAGGAAAGTGTATGAATCTAGCAGTAGGCAAATGTGAGTTAACTGACCTGTCATGTTGGGTATTATCTTAATCACTTGCTTAAGTCTTGCAATGTAAAGTCTAATATCCTTTCCACCAATATGTCATTACTGATTGTGGTAACACTGGAGACTTGACATCTATATAGCTATCTATTTTTTTTGTTGAATCCTGTAAGGTTCTTGGCCTCGGTGACTTCCTGTGGCAATGAGTTCCAGGCTTTTCTAACATGTCTTCATAAGTACCCTGTAGTGACCCTGATCTGTTGAGTTACAGATTATCTGGGCACGGCGTATAGAATTGAAGGACCAGAAGGGACCTGCAAGATCATCAAGTCCAGTCCCCTGCCAGGTGGGAAGTTATTGGGCTCAGACGAGCTCAACAGGGTGCTTGTCCAGCCTCACCTTTAACACCTCCAAGGATGGTGACTGCACCACCTCTGCTGGGAGTGTGTTCCAGATTCTGGTGACCCTTACAGAGAAGATTTTTATTATGTTCAACTTGAATTTACCCTCTGTTAGCTTGTGCCCATTGGTCTTCATCCTCGTTTGAGGTGCCTTGCTGAAGAGTTGCTCCCCTAGATCTTGATGCTCACCCCTGACATACTTGTAGGAGGCTATCAAGTCACCTCTCAGTCTTCTGTTACTCGGACTGAACAGGCCCAGTTTTTGGAGTCTCTCCTCATAGGGCCTATCTTCTATGCTTCTAATCATGCACGTGGCCCTTCTTTGTACTCTCTCAACCTCATCCACATCCTTCTTGAAGAGTGGTGACCAGAACTGGACGCAGTACTCCAGCTGTGGCCTCGCCAACGCCCAGTAGAGAGGGAAGAGCACCTCCCGGGATCTATTGTCAAAACAGTGGCTGATGCATGCCAGAGTTCTATTTGCCCTGCTGGCATCCTCATCGCAGTGTTCATGTTCATTTTCCAGTCAATCGTGACCCCCCAGGTCTTGTTCAGATGCTGTGCCAGCCAGTGGACCACCACCCACTGTGTAGCTGTGGTGAAGGTTGTTCTTACCCAGATGAAGAACCCTGTACTTCTCCCTGTTAAGCCCCATCTGATTCCATTCTGCCCATAAAACCAGCCTGTCAAGGTCATCCTGGATCCCTATCCTCTGATGTGTCCATGTTTTCACACAGCTTAGGAGTATCTGCAAACTGAATTATTGAGCTTTTCACCCCCTCATCCAAGTCATTAATAAATATGTTAAAGAGCATGGGTTCAAGCACCGATCCTTCGGGGGCGCCACTAGAGGTGGCCCTCCAGGATGAGGCCATCCCATCGATTACAACTTTTTGGGATCAGCCACCAAGCCAGTTGTCCATGCACCTCACTGTAGACTGGTCCAGCCCAGCGCCCACCAGTTTGGTTGAGAGAATCCCGTGGGAAACAGAATCAAAGGCTTTACTGAAGTCTAAGTAAATGACGTTGACCTTGTGTCTCTCATCCAGTTGGTTAGTTACTTGGTTGTAGAAGGACACCAGGTTTGTCAGGCGTGATTTACTCTTGACAAAGCCATGCTGTTTGCTTCTTGATACCCCATCAGTTACCAGCTTGTGATTGATGGCTTTCTTAACAAATTTTTGGAATTTTTTTCCCAGGACCAAAGTCAGACTGACCGGTCTATAGTTTGCAGGGTCATCTCTCTTCCCTTTTTTAAAGTTAGGCACCACATTGGCCCTCTTCCAGTCATCTGGGACCACTCCTAACTTCCGTGACTCTTTGAACAGCTTTGCCAGTGGCGCTGCTATAAGCTCAGCCAGTTCTTTCAGGGCTTTCAGATGCAGGTCATCTGTCCCAGCAGACCTGAAAATGTCCAAGTGTTGTAGGAGATCCCTCACCTGTTCAGGACTGATTTCATGTAGTCTGTTGTCTTCTCCATATTCCCTGGGTCTCTGGTCAGGTCAACAGCCCCCATTTGATTTCAGGAATACCAACATGAAGTATGTATTCAGGAGTTCTACCTTTTTGCATGGATTGACTGTGGGCTGCCCCTTAGTATTCAGTAGGGGTCCCACAGTGGAGTCTGATTTTTTTTTTTTTTTTTTTTTTTTTTTTTTTTTTTTTCTTTCTTGCTCCCTGTGTATCTATAGTGAGACTTTTTGTTGTCCTGTATTTCAGTTGCCAGCTTGATCTCCATGCCTGCCTTGGCTTTCCATGTTTCACATCTGCAGACCCTGGATACATAGGTTTATTCCTCTCTGGTTGCTGAACCATTCTTCCATTGCTTGTTGTAACAAGTGGGCGTCCCGGAGCCGACCTCAAAATGTAGGCTAGCCCACTTGTCCTGTAGCTAGCTGTCCACTTCCTCATCTTCCACACCTTGATGTTAATGATTACAATAATGTATTATTAATGTAGTCTGGTGGTTGTGCCAGAGGAAAAAGCAGACCTCTTTAACCAATTCTTCACCTCCGTTTTCTTGGGCAG